TTAGCCTGGGTTTGTAGGTGCTAATTGATGCTCGTTAAATCGTTATGTAGTAGCTAGGTCCTGTGTATTGAGCTGGGCCCTGAGGCCCTGGTCCCTGAGAGAATCATGGATTGATTGGTAAGGGGGGAACCCAGCAGCTTAGCAGCCAGGCCTGCAGCAGTGTCTCCCCTCCCTGCCCCAAGACAGACACAGTCAGTCCCACAAGCACCCATGGCACCAGTTTTGCTTGTCCGCAGCTTGAGGGGCAGTTCCCCCCAACCCCCTGCACCGATCTTCTTGAAACTTGGCAGGCTTTGTGGCCTCAGTAAGAGCTACCAGCCTTGCAGTTTTCACCCCCGTGTTGTAAGACATAGACGTGACATGAGTTTTGCTTTCAAGAATTTGAGGTACAGTTGCCCCAAAACCCCTGCACTGCTCTTCTTGAAACTTGGCAGGATTCATCCTACCTGCAGAGTCTACCACCCCTAAAAATTTCATCTAAATTGGACAAAAAACAACAAAGTTATAGGTATTTTATTGTTTCCCCATTATACCCTATGGCTGGATTTCTGAGACGGCTCCGAGACAGCTCCAAATTGCTTCGTGAAGCCTAATGAGGCCAGCGCTTCGACCCGGATCTGCCGCTTCAGACCGCGAAGCATCTGAATCTTCTCTGGATCCAAAGCTCTATCCAAAGCCTCACACAGCCCTAGTGCGTATACGCTGTAGCTTGTGGCTACAGGGTGACTACACTGAAAAATTAGGCTTGACTGTCTGGAGTCTGGGGACCCAGGAGTGCTGGGAGTTGACTACTGAGGTTCTGAATGTGTCTGGTTAGGGAGCATTGGCATATATATCTGGGCTTGCCCAAACTATCAGCACATATATATCCAGACATATGATGAGCTCGCAATGAAAAGAGCAAGCCGGCAGCACCCTGACTTGCTAAGTGAGCACAGACTCTGGTTATTTGGCTCTTGAGATGACACCAATTCTAACTTGTTGCTTCCCTATAGAGTTGGGAGATGGGCTCTTTTAAATGACTTTGAGAAAGGCTGTGAATTAAACAGAGATGCTGATGAGGCTGAGTGTGGTACCTGTCCCCTTCACTGTCAGGGAAGGCAGTGGAAGCTTTTGCCAAGTGCCTGAGGAGGTCTGCAGCAATTTTAAACTTTGTAAAATAGCTCTGCTACCAAAGGTGATGCTGACATACAAAACAGAGAGAAACTATAGAGGGAGTGAGCTGAGAAGAGGGGATACAGTTATGCTGGAATGGCTACAAGAAAGAGGTTCCCCTCTGAAAAGGGGGAAATAGGGGAAAATAGGGGAGAGTTACAATCTTTCAGGAGGCTTCTGAGTGTGGAACAGATCCAGAACCTGCCCCAAGACTGAAAGGATATGTGCATCATAGGGGAATGTACAGATGGTTCAAAGACAGCCTAAAGAGGAGTGTCCCAGACATGAGATCCAGGTAAAGGGAGAGGAAGGTGCTCTAAACTGAGGGCATGTGGGCATGCCTATGGCAAGTGGGAGAGGCATCCCTCAACTGACTCCTGACATCTTATCGCCTGATGTAACCTCTCCCAGGGACTGGAGCACGAAGGACCCCGAGCCACATGCCCTAGGGTTAGGTAATTAGCAGTGCATCATAGCAGCCCGAGCAGAGCAGGGGTGAGATGCTGCTCTTCAGGTGCAGGTGCTCTGAATGCAAGGCCAGAGCAGGTAAATAATCTGCAATCAGACCCAGGATCAACAAGAGGTACCAGTCAATGTGGTGATATCTGAGGGATGGAAGTACATGAAAGCTGCCCATGCTTGGTCAAACCCTGCATGGTACCCTTCAATAACATCGCTGTCACAGTTCCAAGGTTAACTACATAAATAATCCTTTTATGGCATCCTCAAGAGCAGCTGATTAGATCTTGGGTCTCTGGCTGTCACCTGTTTTTGGAACAGAAAGTTGTATTCCACCTCTTCCAGACCATAATTTTAAGGTGCAGTCCCCTGAGGTCCAACTATGTTCACCCATGCACTATAATGATGACAGGCTTTTGGTGTGGGAACCAAAGTTACGGAGCATGCTGTATGGGGGGACAACTCAAGACATGAAATGAGACACATATGGGCTGGGGGCCATATAGGCAAAGCTGGTCATTCATGTGGGTGCGTAGTTTAAGCTACATGTTAAGTAGAGAGACCAGTATCAATTGAAAATTTCTGGTATCATGTTTGATATATATGCATTGGATATTACACCCAGGTCAGAACATGGTGCAGCACCTGCAGAGCTGTGTTCCCTCAGAGACGACGATGCAGTGGCCAGCCACCTTTCGCAAAGCACATTATTATTTATTTAAAGCA